AAGGATAAGGATTCATAGATAAAAATCTTAAAAAGGATAAGGATTCATAGATAAAAATCATAAAATGGATAAGGATTCATAGATAAAAATCTTTAAAAGATTAATGTGGTAGTGGTGTAATGGTAAAATGCTTCATAAGCAAGAGTTTCTGAGTTCAATCCCCACCACATCCCTGGTAGTACCGCGCTCAACTTGTTTCTCTGCGCAGTGGCCTTGTTCGTCAAGGTTCGTGTTTTAGAGTTATAGAGTTGAGAGAGGGTTATAACCACTATTAAGTTACCTCCTCATCTGTAGTAGCCTTTTCAGCCTTAAGTAGGTGAATAGAAAAAAAAAATTGGGCAATATTTAAAGGGGACTCCAACAGGACAGAAAGGTTTACTTGTTAAATAGTTTAGAGAGTGTTGAAAAGAGTTCTTTAGAATTAAGATTGTGACAAATATTTTGGCTACAAAATTTTTGACTAAAGATTTTACGAAAATTTTTCAAACCTAAACTTCTGAGTTAAAATTAATTTAGTAATCTAAGAATAATGGACCTTTCTTAATGGCTCAGACAATGATGCAGGCTCAGACAAAGGTTTTTTTGCATTGGTTTGATGCAATAATAAAAAGGCATTCTCTAGAGAGTTGTTCTTGTGACAATCTGTGTAGTGATTGACTGAAACAGAAAAAAAGCTGAGACTGAAATAAACCAAAATTTTGAGTACTCAAGTTCGATGCCAAAACCGATATTTCAGCAAATATTTTACCGAAACCGATACCAACATATCGGCTAGTCAAAATTAATTTCATTAAAAAAACTTATTTAAAAATGCACTTTTATATATATTTTTTTTATACTCCTATTATGTTAAAATTGATGGCGATGTAAATTAATAGCAAAAAAAAGTTAATAAAAGTTAACAACTGGCAGAATTTCTTGGCAAAACTAGATTTTTTTGAGGTATTTTGTGAAAATTCTTGAAGTTTTTGTAAAAATTTAAAAAAAAATTTTGTGAAAATTCTTTAAAACAACTATTTTTCTAAATAAGAAAAAAGTTAAAAGTCTTACAAATTTTTCGGTGTAAGGTATATTTTTCAACCAAAATTTTGCTTTTTACCGAATTTATAAAAAGTACAGAAACCAAAATTTCAGTAACGGTTTTAAATAGAAATTTCATCCGAAACCGATACCAAAACAGAATTTCGTTTGATCACTATTCTTGTTGGAGAAAAAAAAAAGATTAAAAATAACAACTGCATAAGAAGAAGAAAACCATGGTGTTTTAGTGAGGCTTGATTTAAAATCAAAGTGAAGGAAGAAAAAAGCTTCCATGTCTTTCTGAATTCAGAAGATTATAAAGGAGGCACAATTTTTAGTAGGATGACATCAGTGCAAAAAAATCACAAAATGAATTCTTCAAAAATAAAATCAGCCTAAAAGTAGTTGTAAGAAGTGCATTGATAGGTTAAATCTGATTTTTGAGATTAAAGTTTTAGTGAGATCATGACTTGAACTGAAACAAGTAAAGAAGAACACGAAGAAACTGACCACAAGATAGGTTCAGAGACAATACTCAAATCACGGAGTGAAGGTAGATGCATCGCAAAGTTTACTATTTGAGTAGGAGATTAAGAAAGTTAAAATATTTTGAACTTTAGAGTCTGCAGTACAGCCAAACCATTCAGTGTGATAAGCATTAAAGTCATCAATAATAACAGTCTGTAAGATAAAGAGAAAGGGATCAGTCAGTTTGATCAGAAACAACATCTAAATGAGAACGATAAAGAACAAAAAGCAAGATGATTGAGTGAAGATGTGTTAAGCAAATAGTCCTGTTAATCAACCCTATTTTGTAACAAAGAGCTCTTTATGCTTTAACAGGGCATCTTCCATGTGCAACATGGTACTCTTTATACTCCTTAGCTCTTAATAGAATCAGCTTTTCTGAGAGCTACCTCAGATATTTGAGAAATCTTACCAATCAGCCCCAGAACCATTACTCTGAGTTTTAGAAATGTGTCTTTATTAGAAGATTACAGGAAAAGTTGCAATAACTTTTGTTATTAAAAATGAAGAGCAATTACTAAGAAAACCTCAAGAAACAAAACAATAACCTCAAGAAGTAACATTAGTGTCAAGATTTTAACATCCTAGCCAGAAAACAATGTAACACTGGTATACATCTGTGCCAGAGGCGAGAGGCTGTTAGACAGAGTTTTTCTACTTACCCCTAAAGTCTTTGTCTTTTATACCTTTTACAAGATTAGCTGCGTGCATTTAACATCTGCCTAAAACAAGTATTTTTATTGAGACACCAGTTTTATTCTTAACTCAACCAAGAGCTCAAGGCAGGCTGTATTTTCTCCTAATACCTTGTGGGCAAACCCCACATGGTATTAGGAGAATATATTTAGATTAGATTGAATAGATTTAAAAAAAAATAAGATTAGTATACTACTTAGGTTATTGGAAAGTTCGTAAAACTCCCCTATAAAAAAAAAAGTTTTTTTTTTCATTTTATTAAATGTTCAAAACAAATGTTCAAACTGTCATTATATTGTATATATAGTTTGAGGATGTCATGAGTGACAATCATCTTTAAATCTGTCTCTGTCTCTAGCATCTTTAAATAATGCCCACTTGGTAACTGTATTATATTTTGGTGCATAGTCACCATATATGTATATATATATATATATATATATATATATATATATATATATATATATATATATATATATATATATATATATATATATATACATACATACATATATATATATATATATACTATATATATATATATATATATATATATATATATATATATATATATATATATATATATATATATATATATATATATATATATATATATATATATATATATATATATATATATATATATATATATATATATATATATATATATATATATATATATATATATATATATATATATATATATATATATATATATATATATGTTTATATATTTATATTTATATATTTATATTTATATATTTATATAGGAAGTTTCTTTGAATTCTTCATAAAGTTAAAGAATACTCTTTAAAATTTTACTGTAATATAATTATAAATCAGAACATGTAAATGCGTGTAAATTTTGTATATACTTTTATATTAATTTATTTTTCCTCTATATAAAATCTTTTAACTTTATAATTCTATTGTTTTAAAATAGTATTTTTTGTGTTTCATCTTTTTTAATTTTTTTAAATCTTTTAAATTTTTTATTTTAGTTTTATTGCTATCCTTCTTTTTTTATTACAAATGGAAAATACTATTCAAATGCTGAGCAACTTATTCTGTACTATTCTTTATAAATACACAAGTTTTTTTTTTTTAATAGCAAACAAGTTTTAAACAGTCGTCTTGAAGCAGAGAAAGAAGGAATTCATATTCCGTCTTCAATTGAAGAATATTGTATCAAACATAAGCCACATAGTCAATCTGATAGTAACATTGACATATGTGATGACTGGTATGATGATGATGATGACTATTTAGAACAGGATGATGAAGAAGAGTGCTTTGATAATGATGATTCTGGTAATGAAGATCAGTAATGAATATGGAGATGATTCAAAAGCATTAACAATAAAAAAACATTTGAAGTAAAAGATCCTAAGAATTCATAACACATACATCGAGGATGCTACCCTTTTAATGTAAAATAAGAATAAGTTATTAATTGTTACTTTACCAGAACCTTGTTATGCAATTTTAATGTAATCCTTATATATGTATTATGTAAAAAATATTATTTTATAAACATTCTGCCAACTGGTGTTTTTATAAACAGTTTTGTTTTATAATTTGAGGTTAGGCTGTATAACTTGAAACAGTAAAATGAAGTTTAAAAAAAATTTGTAAACAATGTTTGTAAAAAAAGGTTTATATATACTTGTTTCAATTTATGCACCTTATTTTGTTGACTTGAAAAGCTTGTTGTATGTTAAATTCATGTTGAACTAAAATGGGTATGTTTGTATAAGCTTTAAAAAAAAAGTCGTATGAATTTTTTTTGTCTATGCTTATTTTTACTGAATTCAAAATTTAACAACATGCTAAATTTTAACTATATAAAAAAAATATTTAATATTTTATTGACATGTAACACATGTTATTTTGCAACATTTGTAAAACGATATAAAAGCATTTTGATAATTTTATGCTTTATTTATTATATTATATATATTTGAAAGTTATGTCATGTATAATGTACTATTAATATTATTTTTAGATAAAGTCTGTATCGCAGGCATAATGTTTAAAAATATTGAGTATGTCTATTTTACAGACTGTAATTGTTTTAGATTAATTTTAAATGTTTTCAAATAAAATTTATAAATTGTTTTATTAAAAAGTTTTTTTATTAAATATATAGTTTTATTAACATTGTAACCATTGTGATGGTACCACTGTAGATGGGTTTCAGTGGATGATCAAGTATTTTTCTTTTTCATTTTTCAATTTTACTTTATTATAATAGATAGTATAAAAATTTAAAATCTTTTAAACAGTTAATAAAGTTGGTATGATTGAAGAACATAGGGTAGCTGATTACTTTGTTACTGTTGGACTAAACAATTTAGGAAAGCCAGAATGTGACTATGAAACATTAGAACCTATTACAGACCTTGCTGTTATTTTCAAAAGTGCTGGGGAGGAGCCTCCAGATGGTTTTGAATGTATTGAGACTACTCCAAGCGGATTGCCTGCAAACTTGAATCATGGTTCATTACGCAGCCCTACTTGTTATTTGTGTTTCCGTAGAGGAAGAGATAAACCCCCACTTACTGATATTGGGTATTTCTTTTTTTTTTTTTCTGTTGTAAAGTTTTCTTATTTTTAAAATTAAAGGTAAAAGTTTTTTTTCTTATTTTTTATTTAAATTTTAGAGTTCTTCATGAAGGCCGTCAAAGATTAATGCATGGTTGTGATATTGTTTTAAAAACTCCATCAAAGTTGTTTGCAAATGTAAACAATGCAAGTAATTCGCGTTTATTTATAACATATCGAAGAGCATCTCCTCAGTTTGCTCATTCATCACTTGCTGTTATTGATATATGTGTGATTATTACTAATAAGGTAAATCATTATATTTAAGTGTAGTTATAATAAAATACTTCTGTTATAATAGAATACTTCTGAAAAATTCTTAAAAAAATATATTTATAATTTATTCATTTGTGATAAAATAATTATAAAAAAAAACCTTAAAAAAGGGTATTCGTAGTTTTTAATTTAGATAAAACTTTTTAGATATACAAGCCTTCTCAGGAGACATGTGCGGTTGCTTGTCTTATACCACCATAGTTTTTTGCATATAATCAGGCTTTTCCAGAAAAAGTTTGCTGTTCCATGCCCTGTTTGTCTGTGCATAAAATAATTTTTTCAGACAAACAGACCAAGCTTTTAAATATTATGAGTTTCAAAAATTCGTGCCAAAACAAAGCTAAACAAAAAAAAGCAAAAAAAAAACAATTCTTAAATAAGAAAATGCACTGAATCTGCTTTAAACTTAAAAAAAAATATAATTAAAAAAAAAAACAAAAAAAAAACCTAATTATTAACTACCACCCTAAGAAAAAAAAACAACAACATAATTAGGCGTTTTTTTTTGTTTTTTTTTTTAATTTTAATTTTTTTTAAGTTTAAAGCAGATTCAGTGCATTTTCTTATTAAGAATTGTTTTTTTTTTTGCTTTTTTTTGTTTAACTTTGTTTTGGCACGAATTTTTGAAACTCATAATATTTAAAAGCTTGGTCTGTTTGTCTGAAAAAATTGTAATAAAAATTGTAATGAAAAAATTGTAATAAAAGTTGTAATAAAAATTGTAATAAAAAAATTGTAATAAAAAAATGTAACTTATATATATTATATATATATAATATATATAAGTATATATTATATATATTATATATATATATAATATATATAATATATAATTATATATATTATATATATATATATATATATATATATATATATATATATATATATATATATTATATATATATATATAATATATACTTATATATATTATATATATATAATATATATAAGTTAAGGAAAAAGAACGATGAAAAGATTATAAATTATATAAATTTAACAAAAATAAAACGATTTTTGATTTTTTTCTTGATTTTTATCAGTCAGTATATGAGGAAATACTTTATATTTATGCTAGAACTATGAACAATTTTTAAAGTTATTTTTTTCAAATGTTTTTGCGAAATTTATATTTTTAATTGATACACAAGGAAGATAGAGGCTGATTGCTATTTATTTGTAAAATATTTTTAAATCTAAAAATTTATTTTTAATAAATTTTATTGTCAAATTATAACAAGCCTTTGATAATAATGTTTAAATATAAATTATTAGGTCGTATTCATTACCCCCATTACAAAGGCAGATCCATTAAAGAATGAGAGGGGAGGAGGGTAACTTCCCTTATATATTTAAGTATTTTTTTTTAAAGCAATATATTTAACACAGCACATTCTTTGAAAATGTAAGTAAATTAGGTACAATGTTTGAAAGAAGCATGAAATTTTAATAAAATTGTGTAGTACAAATTTTAAATTACGGGCTTGCCAGCTTACAAAGTTTATTATATAAGTTTATTCTTATATAATAATATAATACAAATTTAAATATATATTTTTGCAGTATATGTTTTTTTTAACTTTTTCAGTCAACTCCAGTACAAAAATAAGAAAAGTTTGAAAAAAAATTGAGAAAGTATCAGTTTAAAGTTAAATTAAGGTAAATTCATGGGGAAATAAATTCCTGATTTTTTCCAAATTATTTTTGAAAAATGTTTTCCATGTTTTTAAAATATGAGCAGAATGATCTGTTGAATCAAAAAAAAAAACTAAAAATGGTCTTCTTTCACTATATAGTCTGACTCCACCCTTGCCCTATTGATACAGTCTGCTATAGTAATTTGTATTAACCTTGGACAATTAGACAATATTGAATAAACAATTTCAGACAGGAATCAAATGTGGTCAATATATTTGTACGAAACGGTGCTATTATTTTTTTTTAACTTTTTTTGTAATTACAAAATTTTGTAATTAGTTGGTTGCAACGTAATGAAAGGCATAATAAAATAATAAATAATAAACGAAATAAAATCTCTTTATGTATAAAAATTCAAATAACATATTTTAATAATTAATAGCACTTAATCTCTAACTAGACCAAGTATTTAGAAATAATGTCAAATGAAGCAAAAACTTTTGTAAAAACTAAATAAAATCAAAAATTTTACTTAATTTCTCATAGAAGCATAAATAATGAATTACTTTCTAATTGATTGATAAAATTTGCGAATAAATTACGTATCAAGTCTTTTTATTGTCATTAAATTTTTATAATTTATCTTTTTTTCTATTAAATTTCTGAAAAAAGCTGAAAAAAGAAAACAAAAACAGTAAAATAATTTTGCAAATTTTTTTTTTTTTCTTTGTGTAATAAATTTTTTTTTAATTTATTAATTTATTATTTCTAGCATTTAAATTTAATTCAAATTTTAGATTTTGTTAAGATTTTGTTAACTTTTTTTAGTATTATGTAATTAGTATTATTTTATAGTATTTTGTATGGGCAAACAAGGCGTGTGACCGCATGCCTTTCCTGGTAAGGTCTGTATAATGATAATTTGCGTGTTTTAAAAAATGCGCTGAAAAAACCAAACTAATTTAAAGAGAAAGTTAAAAATAAGCAAACCATAAACTGATAAGAGAAACAAAATTAAGAAATGATAAAATAAATATAGGATAAACCAGAGAAAATAAAAACATAAAACTAATATATTTTTTATTTAGAAGTTTCTCAATTAATAGTTCAAACGTAATTTAATTTAAAAGGGTTTTAGTTAATAGTTTAAAGTTAATAATTTTTCCTATATCGTCACTTCGATTTAGCGCTTAGATTAATTAATTTTGTCAATTCAAATCTTACTAATAATTTTTAATAATTAAGTATCAAAGTAACTAATCTTGGATTAAATAACTTTGAAACTTTTATTTTTTTTTAGTGCTTTCTATTGAAACCCTTTTAAATTAAAATAAAAACATATTAATTTTATGTTTTTTTTTTTTCTGGTTTATTTTTTATTTATTTTATCATTCGTTAAGATTATTATTTTCTTAGTTAAGTTTTGAATTTTTTGTGTTTAGTTTTTATTTCTCTTTCCAGTTTATAGTTTATTTTTAATTTTAGTTTAAGTTTACATTTGTTTATTCAGCCATTTTTATGAGCCAGGGCCAAGTTGTCAAAATAAGGTATGTCAAAAGGTATGTCAAAATAAATCTTATAAGGTGTGCGACTGCACATATTTCCTGAGAAAGCTTGATATATATGAGTTTTTTGTTTATTTTTGCAAAGTATGATAAAATGAATTATAATAATTAAATAATTAAGTTATATTTGATGAATAATAATAGTTTATAAATTATTATTTATTAAAATGAATTATTTGATAAATTAATTGATAAATTAAAATAAATTTTAATAATTACAAATATTATAATTATAGGGAGAAAAACCACCACATGCTTTTTGTTTAATTGACAGAAATTTAAATCAAGGGCTTGGAGGTTCTGCTGTTTACCTTTGCTATAGAAAATCTTTAGCAAGAACAAACTCACTTACCTATTCAGCAGGTAGGTAAATAATCTTCACAATATTTTTTGAATAATTTTAATTTTGTACAATGCCATTAAAAAAGGCCTTAAACTCAGCCAAGACATTATCACTAGTAATCAAGACGTTATCACTAGTAATCAAGACGTTATCACTAGTAATCAAGACGTTATCACTAGTAATCAAGACGTTATCACTAGTAATCAAGACGTTATCACTAGTAATCAAGACGTTATCACTAGTAATCAAGTTTCAAAAACTAAGATCTTAAGTACACAAAAAGTACTTCAAGTACTTCAAGTAACCAAATCAAAGTTTCTAAAAAACCTACTTTTCTTAACATTTCTGATCAAAAAATATTTAAATTAGGTTCACACACATTCTCATAAGTTCCCAAATATATCAAAATTAGTTTCCCGTAAGCTAGAATACTCAAATTATTAAAACTAGGGTTTTGCATAACTTTCTATTTTGAGTAGAACCAAATGATTTAAATCATGTAGTTTCATACAGGTTAAAAATATTTTCACGTAATTTTTATAGATAAAGTGGAATTCAGTTTCTAATAATAAGTTTTGTTAATAAGTTCTTGGCAATGGATGCCAAAGTTAATACTGATTTTTTTTGTGATATATCTGAATATTTTGTTTAACCAACCAAAGCAGCTATTTAATTAATACAGCTAAATAGTCAATATACAGCTTATCATTTATATCACAGCATTCAGAATTAGGGTTGGCTAACTGTTGACCTGACAGTTCTGAGGTTGGCAAAAAATTGGTAGCCTTAGAATTTTAAAACCAAATTTTATTTCCTATTTCAAATAAATTAAAAACGGCAAAACAAACTTTTTGTTTAAATTCTAAATAAAATGATTTTTTAAAAACAAAAAAATAAAGGTGTTATTTAAAATCTGAACAAAATTAAAAAAAAACCCTAAATTCTAAATAGATAAACTAAAAAAAAAAAAAAGGAAAAAGTATGTTTATTTAAATTCTAAATAAAAGAGTTAAAATAAATATTTTATCAAATTAAAAATTCTAAACAATTAAATTAAAAGTTCAATGGCAAAAAATTAAAATAATTAAAATATAAAAAAACTAACTTTTTAATTAAATTCTAAATTAAAAAAAAAGAACAACAGAAAAAAGAAATGTATATTCAAATTTGTAATAAAATAACTAAAATAAAAACAATATAAAAAACAATTTATTTAAATTCTAAAATAAAAATAGAAAAGCAAAAGTTTTTTTAATATTTCTCATTGACCCATGCTACACTTTGACAAACCACTGCACTTATGGACACTCAAGTCAAAAAATTACTTACTATTGTTTGCAAGTTGTACTGAACCCCACTAAGTGTCCTCTGGTCTCAGTGTTAATTCAGGAGTCTGTGGCAATTGTCCTGACTGGATACTCTGAGAATTGTCCTTTTGGGATAACACAATGGGATACCTTAAAAAGATACCCTGGTGTAGACCCAGAGTGGAACTTCTTTGAGATACCAGTCTTGGATGAAAGCTGGAGGTCTTCATGTGTTTATACTGCACAAATTTATACTGTACTCAAGACGTTCATGACACTTATCTATAATATATATGTTTATCACCCTAGTAATACAAACCACGTGTTGACTGCTTATAAAACGAATACTTCTACTCCATTACCAATTCTATCTATACATCACATTTATGCTGGACTCTAACAACAATTTAGTAGCACAACAACTAATGACTTTCCTTGACTATTGTTTTTTATTCTTATTTATTTTTTACTACATTTTACTTATATCAGTTTTAAGTATTTTTCTACTTTGAGGGTCTTTGTTTTTCACTAGACATCTGTCCTTTTGTACTTTTATCTCACTCTTCTAAACTCTTTTTAACTTACTATTCATCCCTAAGGCGTTCACTGCTCTGTGCAGCTTCACTAAAATGCATTGCATTTACAAAAAGTGTGTGTATATATATATATATATATATATATATATATATATATATATATATATATATATATATATATATATATATATATATATATATATATATATATATATATATATATATATATATATATATATGTATATATATATATATATATATATATATATATATATATATATATATATATATATATATATATATATATGTATATATATATTTATATCAGGGCTTATATTAAGCATATTGCCAATTGCAATTGCTTTTCACACCTTTGCAATAAGTTTTTTTTTTTTTTTAATTTTTCTTTTCTTTTTTTATTCTTTTTCTTTTGGTCGTTCATTTACTTTTTTTTAGTTTAGCATTTTTTTGGTAATTCTTAAAAGTAATGTTTTTGTCATAAAGTACGTCACGCTTTTCCGCTGAGATTTTCATTCAAAGTAAAACATTTTTGAATTGAAATTAATTTAATTCTCTGCGTGGAAGCCAATAATATTTAAACGGTCCTTAAAATGAAAAGTTGAAAAGGGAAAAGTCGTTAAAGTGAAATTTTTCTTAATTCTTTTTTTTTAGCTTGGTTTTTATCTTTGTTTTTCAAAATGTTCCACCAGATTAACTAATTATTAATAATTTAAATTATTATTTTCAACGATTATGTATTATTAATTTTCAACAATTATCAACAATTTTGTATTATTAATTTTACTACTTTAAGTGTATTAAAGTATATATTAATTCGTTTTTATATATTTTTTTTTTTAATAGTTAATCATTGCTAATAGAAACCAGCTACTTTTTTGCTTCAACGTTTTTAAGCATATTCTTAATCTAATTCTATATTATAATTCTATTTATTAAACCAAATTTTTTTGTTTAACTTTTTATTCGAAACAATTTAAATAAAAAAATTGAATGAAAACATCAATTTAAAAACCATTTGAATAAAAAACTTAATTAAACTTAAATTTTTAATAGTATGCTAGATCAATACGATAAATTGTTAAAAACGCGGTATCTAATTTTTTTTTTCTTTTATCTTACTCTTTTAGTCTATAGATTATAGACTCGTATGGTCATAGGCATGTTTTTGCGCAAATATTAAGTTCTATGACAAATTTTTAATGTGTAAAGAAATTTATATATATATATATATATACATATATATATATATATATATATATTATATATATATATATATATATATATATATATATATATATATATATATATATATATAAATTTCTTTACACATTAAAAATACACATTACAAAAAAAAAAGTTTGGTTATCATATTTATCACCTTAATAAACATTAAAGAGAGGTTTTATTATTTTAGAAATAATTAGCAAGTACCCGACAACAGATTACAAAGACTATCCACTTCCAGACTCAGTCCAGCTTTTTTGCTTACCGCTTGGTGCAGTTATTGAATGCTGGCCAGAGACTGCTCAACCTCCTCTTCCAATTTTCTCTACCTTTGCTCTGACAGATGCCAAAGGTGAAAAGGTAATTATATTTTGAATTTTTTAAATTATTAAACAAAAGATTTTAAAAAAATGATTATAAACTTATTTTTTATGTTTGTTTTTTTATTAAGATATATGGTGCTGGAGTAACATTTTTTGAAGAGTTTCCAAAGGAAAACTTTACTGAAGAAGTCAACGCTCTACTTCTTCAACAGCAAAAGGTTGTTAAATATAAAATAAAATAAAATAACAAAAGAATTACCAAGAAACTTCTTTTTTTTATCTTTTATTTTTTTTAGGTTGTTTAATATAAATTTATTTTTTTTATTATTAAAATTATTATTTTTTGTTTGATTTTGTTTTGACATTTTTTATTTAGAACTATAAAGATCAACGTCTAGTGGCTCAAACAAACAAATGCATTTGTTTGCTATCTCGTTATCCTTTTTTTGATGCATTTCGACGATTTCTAATGGCACTCTACAGAATAAGTGTATCTGGCAAACAAAATATTCCTATCGAAAGGTAACACTAAACATGTTTTTTTATTGTTGTTGTTTTGCAACTAAGAGGTTGCTAACATGTTTTTTTTAGCTTAATTTAGTTAGCTTTTTGTTCTGATTAAGGTACATTTCTCATTTTATGCACAATGTACCATTTCCAACTCCTCGAAAACCAAGAGTGTTTGTACAGGTTGAAGTTATTTTCTGATATTTTATACATAAAATTTTGCTGAAATACATTTATATATTTTTTAAAAATAAATTTTTATATCATTTTTTAAAAAAGTGTTCTTATAAGAATAGTGATAAATATGCTTTATATGTTTAATTAGATGACTCATGAAGGATTTGAAATTACAGAGCCTTCTAATGGTCCTTTACCCGTAAGGTATTATGTTTTGTTTACAAACTTGAAAATTAAATAATAAAAATAATTTTATTAGATAAATATATGCTACTTTTTTCCAAATTACTTTTTTTTATTATTTCATTAGAATATTCTAGATATAGAGGACTTTTTTTAAAAATTGATGATTGTACCCGCCCCCCCTCCCACTTTGAAACCTGTGTCATCGGCCATGGTATGTTGGAATGAAAATGGCATTATATTTCTTATTAAATCTTTAATCTGAATAATACTTAAAAGTTTTGTATTTAAATATAGAATTTACTGTGATAAATCATAGATTAGTTTTTTCAAAAATTTCAAAAAAAATTCTTTTTTGCAAATTTGATTTTAATATACAAATGCAAAATAGTATTTCTATAATATGCATTTAAAATATCAGACACAAGTTTATCTAATCTATTGATTATTACTACTAATTTTTTTTTAATGTTATTCACCTTCCATAAGATAAAAAGATTACTACAGCTAAGGAAGCTATTGTTTATTTATTATTTTATTGTGGTTACAACCCTTTATCGACTCTTTAACTCCAAAACACAAACTTTGATGAACAAGGCTGCTGTGCAGGGAAACAAGTTGAGTGTGATACTATCAGGTATATGGTGGGGTTCGAACTCAGAACTTATGAAGTGGGCGCTCTACCACTATACCACTATCGCATACACTATATATATTACTATATTTGTATTGCTATTTATTATTCATCTATTACTGAATCATTTTTGACTAAAACTTATTTCATTTCAGGCTTTCACAGGAAGACGTGCAATTTCATGTCTTTATATGACCACGCAAAAAAAAAAAATTTTTATTTTTTATAGACCTGTGAGATGTGAAAATAAAAACAGATTGAAGATGATGTCATTTTGGTAAAAAAACATAAATTAATGTAAAGAATATTTAGTAGAAGTAAAAGTTAGCAACTCAGGAAAAGAGGAACCAAAACTCACACTCTAGTCATCTTTTAGCAAATGATGAAACAATGATCTATGAGTAAACAAGTCAATAAAAATCCGCTGGTTTATTAATGGTATTCATAACTAAAATAATCACACCATACAAATGTCTAATAAATGTGGTACTATATATGTACTGATAATAACCTGTCTAACATAAAAATATATAAATGTCGTTAATGTAACAAATTCATAATAAAAAGCTCACAAAGCACAAAAATACACGGGTCTAAGAGGTAAAAAAATGTTGGTGCCATAATAACCAATTAGAATTAAGTAGTGGATAAATGGTGATCCCCCTCCTCAGGAATGCACTGCGATCACCAATAACGTTTCGGAGAGCCCGAGACCTGTACTAACACCACTCGTTAGGGGCGTGTTCTTGCAACAGATCTCACCGCCTGCACTCTACGTTGTGCTAGTCAATATTGCAATATAATAGGACTACACTACAAAAGCCAAAAAACCCAATCCCTATCCCAGTTTTTGAAAACAGCTCCAACATTCTTAGAGATCTCGTGAGGGTGGTGAGAGATGCGTGTGGTGTGACCATAAACAGATATGTAAACACATATAAATATAAGGTACCCTTACATTAAAAGAAACAAACTTGTACACATGTATGTATGCGCGTGTATAAATAAACAGTTAAAATGTGTAGAAATAACACAAAGCGAATAGAAAATAGTAATTAATAATTAATAGTAACTTACTGTTTCTTTTATGGCTGAAATATGTATTATAAATATAATAAGTAAATACCACTCATAAGCATTGATACTAAGTTAAGATGTTTTGTGGTTAGTACGAAAGTAGTTAAACAAAAGTATAATAAAAAATATATAACTCCAATAGTAAGTTCTCATATAAATCTTGCCTGGTAAGTAGAGACAATAGCTATCACACAAAACAGACTCAGAGTAATTAAACAACGATTAGCCAGAGATAAAATGTATGTATATATATATATATATATATATATATATATATATATATATATATATATATATATATATATATATATATATATATATATATATATATATATATATATACAAGCATTAAATCAGTAGGCAGAAAATAATGAGGAAATAAAAAGAAAAGACAATAAATGCGATATAGAATATAGTATATAATTGTGAAAAAAAAAAAAAAGCATAATAAAAACTATAAAATTGATAACAAACTTCTTATATAACCAGTGAATTCTTTGAAATTGTAAGAGTCATTATAACATGATTTACTTGTTTATTCATTGTGTTTTTCCTACTATATGAATCAACCCTCTTAAAGTTAGCATTCGGCAATACTGACCTAACTGCTGACCTAGAAGTGTTTGAGGTCAGCAAAAAATTGCAGACCTTGTTTCTATGTTTTATGGTCAAACCTTTGTTTTACATTTTTTCTGCAGACCTGATGCTTGGCCAGCGGTCCTTGAATACCTTGAAAACCTGGAAATGTCCTGGAATTTGGTAGGTCCGGTAAAGTCCTGGAAAAACACCCATTTTAGCAATAAATCCTGAAAATCCTTGAACTTTTTCCTGAAATACTTCAAGATTTATTTTATTATGTTTTTACCTTTTACAGAAATATTATTAATATTGCGTAGATTTCTACTGAAATTATTAATTATGTATTTTCTGACTTGCAAAATTTTTTGCTAACTGTTACTGTCAGTATTATTACCATCTAGCAATTATTAAAAATATATATAACTAATATAAAGCCTAATACAAAAAATTGTCATTTTCAAACAGAATGGCTATACAAAAAGTATTCTTCTTGGGTAAAGTTTTGTATTTCAAATTCTAAAAAAGCAAGCTATAGTTGGTGCAGAACGGATGTTAATATCTCTAGCATGGGAGTATCTGCCTCGGATTCTCATTCAACTGGTAAAAAGCATAAATTTAATGCAAAGACACATAATGCAGCAGATATATTCTTTACTGGTAGTTTATTAGTTTTTATTTTAATTTAGGTTTTTTTTTACTTTTATTTAAATATGTTTTCCTGAATTTCGGAATGCTTGTAGCAAATTAATTGACTGTGTTCTATCAGTAACTTACATAAAACTTCTCCTAATTTCCTAAAAAATAAAATTCTTGGTTACCAAGGCAGAATGACACATTTTTCTTTAAGATCGTGCTTAAATTTAAATGAAATATTCAAATTTTCTGATTATTCTCTAACAGCACAATAGCATCAAAGTTTGCATTTAGTTTACCAAAGATTGAAGTAGAGAAATCAAATAACCAACTAGAAGTAGACCATATTGACATAGGAACAGCACTGAAATGCTAAATTCTCCTCATTGTTAACCAGAAGAGAAATTAGAATTTAAGAAAGAATGTAGGCAGATTATCATAACGTTATTGCAAAATTTGCAAGAAAGATGCCCATTGAAGTATTCTTTTAAGAGGGATTCTCCAAATGCATTGGTTTAAAACAAGAAAGTATTAACTCTGAAATTAAAGGGTCTTTCTGAGAGATTAAGTGCATTAAAATGGCATTCAAATGATGATGTAGATGATGCAAAGCCACAATTTGTTGAACTTTTTGGTGCATAATGTGTTCGATTTAGAGTCTTTAAAATGACAATAAATAAATTTGAGTCCTTTAATGAATTAACTGATTCTGTTGATAAATTTCTTGGTGTCTATTTGCACAAAAATCAAAAGTATTCATCATTGTAAAAAGTCTGTGCTATCATTTTTGTTTTATCTCATGGCCTATAGGCAATAGATCAAGGATTTAGTGTTAACAAGCAGTTGTTAATAGAAAATCTACAAAAAGGATCTCTTGTTTTCCAAAGAACAGTTTATAGCCACATTAATTCCCATGACATTGTTATTCATCAGTATCAGCCTCCCAGTGACCTTTTAAAAAGCTGAAGGTTAACATAAAATAGGTACAATTCAGTGTTAAAGGAAAGTAAGGAACAGTTAAAGGTAGACAAAGTAAGCAAGAAACATAAATTGATTGATGAAGACTTTATAATTATAAAGAAACAGCAAATTTCTTAGAAACACAATTCTAGAAAAAGAACTGGCAATTAAAGAGCTTGATATTTCACTAAAAAACCTTGAACAATCTAAGAAAGAGTTTAAATAGAAGTGTTTGATAAACTAGTGTATCTATATTCAGTATAAAATATTTTTTAACTTTACCATACTATATACGTCTATATTATAGCATATATTTATATTTATATATAAAACATATTTTGAAGACAATATATTTTGTTTTTTTCTGATCGAGAAAAGATCAATATATCCTTGAAAAACCCCAAATTATCTTTGAAAAGTCCTGGAAATATCCTAGAATTTTAAATTAGCTTTTGGCTGGCCACCCTGGATTATGGTTGGCAAATTAATGCCGACCACTTTTTTTCCTAATTCCGAGAGTTGATGAATACTATCTTTAATTTTTAGTTCTAATTTGTTAGAAACACAATTCAGAGTTAAATAAGATGTGTTATAAGTGTGTGTATATAAGTGTGTGTGTGTGTGTATATATATATATATATATATATATATATATATATATATATATATATATATATATATATACATATATATATATATATATATATATATATATATATATATATATATATATATATATATATATATATTTATATATAAATTTAAAATATTATTGAATGTAATCTAGTGGTGCCTCGTATACAGCGTTACTTCGTTGTCTTGGCACTGAAAATACTCTAACTCTTCTTGCGTGTATATTAACTGAACAAAAAATACTTGTTCATTCACTGCGGCCTGCACTTCTAACCAGTGTTGGAGAAGCACTTACTTCGGTATGTATATTATGAACTTTTGATAAGATAGTTTGCTTAAATTTTCATATCATACATTTATGTTAATAATATATATATTTTTCAGTTAATATTTCCCTTTCAATGGAAGTGTCCTTATATTCCTCTGTGTCCTTTAGTATTAGCAGATGTTCTTTCTGCCCCTTTTCCATTTATTTATGGTAAGAATTCATATTTTTTAAATATGATATTATTATATTTTAATTACAAAGCATAAAATTGTTATAATAAGCCTATAAAATTATTTAAATAAATTATGAAACTTATTTTTTAGGAATTGATTCACGTTACTTTGATCAAGGATCTCCACCGTGTGATGTGACATGTGTAGATCTTGACACAAATATGATTACACAGTACTTATTTTGTTATTATTGAAAATGCATATTTTTCAATAGCATTAGAAAAAAATTTAATGATAATTTTATTCTATCATTCATGTTTGACAAATTGTAATAATTATTTTTTTAAATAAAAATTATTATATAATTTTAACAATTTCAAAAAGTGAATGCAACTTTATTGGTAACCTGTTTGTCGCTAATGATAAAATGTGCCTTTTAATGAAATACTGTTTATAAAGTATGTGTTTGTTGACATATGTATGTTTGTTGACATAAATATGTTTGTTGACATAAGTATGCATGTTTGATGACATATGTGGTTGCACAAACACTTGCACCACCAATGCTAATGTGGATACATTAACAGTAATAAAGTTTGCTGAACTTCTATAAATATAATGAAATTTTAAAGTATTTATAAAGTATTTTTTTCTGATAATAATTAAAAAATTTGTTTATGGTCACTTACACCTGATCCTTAGCATTGCTTGTCACACTTTGTCATTAGTGTTGAATAATCTAACATAGCACATTTAGGGCTACATGTATTAATATGATCCTAACTTTTACACTTCATGAAAACTAATTTATTAAACTTTTGTTAAAAATTAACATAGACATTTTTTCATATTCTATAGTTGCTTTTAAAAAGTTTTTGTGTTAAATATCCATTTTTTTTTTTTAATTGTCATGTTTTAAAGGGCAAGTGAAACAAGAGATTTCAAGCAAATTAATTGGAAATCATTACCAAAGGTAAGTAGTTATTTTTTTTGAAAGATTTAAGAGTTGGAGAGTTATTTCCATAGCAATTTAAATATAAATTTATTTTTTCAACTCTTAGTATTTGTTGAATTTTATTTTAGAAACCATGCAAAGTTTTAAAAGATAAATTGGATGAAGTATTTTTACAGTTACATAATGGTATTTTTAAATGGAATTAAATAAATGATTCAAGTTTTCTATAAAATTATTTTTTATTGTTATTGTTTATTATTATTATTATTATATGAATTTGAATTTTTTTATTCATAAATCAAAAATTTACAAGCCATTTAAAAAAAAAAAAAAAAACATCATAAAAGATGAAGATGAAGTGGTGCAGCATCAGGCACCACTATGATGATGTAATTTAAGACACACAATGTATACTGGTTAGCTTTGAAAATGCATCAAATCGACTTTTAAAAATGTTTGTAGAACTTGCATTGACTACATTTGCTGGTAGCCTATTCCAGTTGTTAACAACTCGATTAGTAAAATAATTGTCTTGTTCTTGGCAAGATTTCACAATTTACCTTGATAGTCGCTGATTATGTCCACGCAATTATAATCTGATAGCGATTGGGCATATATTTGAGGAACTACAAAGTCTATTTTTTCTATTTCGTTAGTGATTTTATACTGTTGAATAAGGAATGAGCCTCTCTTCTCTCCCCATAGTTTTTGTGTTTTATCTCGCTTATCACCTTTGTTACTCGCTGTTGTATGCATTTAAGTGCTTTTATGTCACTTTTTAGGTGAGGAGACCAGGCTTGGATGGCATACTCGAGATGAAGTCTAATGTATGTTGTGCAGAGTACCCTCCAAAATATATATATATATAATAAATATACATATTTATTTTTATATAAAGCATTAGTAAATGACTGATTATAGTAGGAACACATTAAATATAGTTTTACTGAATAACTATAAGATACATTATATATTTTATTCCATAAATAGGTTTTATGAAATAAAAAAAAATTAATAACAATTCACTCCCATATATAACGACTCACTCCCCATATTTACCTATCCAAAGCCCAGAGGCTGTACTATAGTCAAGGAAATTACTATAGTTAATAAACATATAGTCATAATTTTTTTATAACTATATTTTTTTATAACTCAATGGAAATTTGTTTTCTCAATGGTTGCAAACAGTCTAAAGTACACAAATAGTTTAATGAATGTGAATTATTGTGAAGACTAAGAAAAAAGTTTACTACAAAAATTTACAATTAAAAACGCAAATGAAACAAACAAATAAACCTTAACCAAAACGGCAATAATTTTAAGATTTAAAATTAATTTGATGTAAATGGTGATGAACAAAGTGGAAATGCTCAGTGCTCAGTCATCAGCAATGATGCTGTTTGGTTGGTTGAACACATTGTTGACTAACATGACCTTCTAAACAAAACACAACAAGCACGACCTTCCAAACAAAAACAAACATGACCTTTCAAACAAAACAACAAACAAAACAACTTTCCAATTTAAAAGTTTGAAGATTCTAATAATCATGGTAATTTAGTTTGTTTGGTAATTGAGTTGAGTTAGTAAAAAAAATTGTCAAACTTGAAGCAAATTTAAGAGTTACTATGTCTTTAAAGTGCTGCTTTCACAGTGGCAGTTGATATTTTTTGGACTAGACATCATCATATATTTTTCCTTAGTATGAAACTTCTGGGACAATTTTGCAAAAATAAGCCAAGTCAGGAAAATTAAAAACATTTGGGAGGAGGAATTTTTTAGAAACTAGTTGTTAGAAAGCTCTCAGTGTTCATTTAAAGAAATAAAAAGTCTTGGAAGGAAGTTACAAAATATATGTAAACCTCCAGCTGCTAAATCTTTTGATGAAATAATAGTTTTTGCCAATCATGGAGTTACACATTATTCTTGAAGTTACCAACAAGACTTTTGTTCATTTAAAAGTTATTCATAGTCTAGTGTTTAAAATTATTATAATAATTAACCCCCTGACTAATTCCACTATTTAGCTAAGGTCATGGTTGCAATTAAATGCAGATTTTTTGCAGGGACTTTTATCAATTTTTTAAAACAAGATTTTTATTTATTTTTGCTAGTTAAAGAGTATATAGTAATCGTTTGTTATTAAAACTGTTATTAAAACATTTGTTATTAAAATTAAAAACTTTGTTATTAAAATATATAGTAATCATTTGTTATTAAAACTGGGTAATCTGGTTACACTGGTTAAAACTGGTTTAACTTGTTAGAATGAATAAACTCATTTAAAACTTTATTGAATAAATTCAAACTAATAGTTTTATAGAATGAATCATTTGTTTTAAATTTTTTTTTAATTCTTATTTCTTGAAATCAGAAATCACTTTTTTACAAACTAAGTTGATTTAAATTTTTTTATTATTTTAAGTTCCAAATGAAGATAATAATTCAGCTGTTGAAATGGCTCCATTAAATGTAGATTCTGTGTCTGTCTCAAGAAAGGTAAGTGTATTTAAATGGCTACATCATTAGCACAATCTTAATATATTCTGCACACTTTCATTTTGTCCTTAAAATGATAATTTTAATCTAGACTTTTAAAAACAGAAATAATAGACGAATAATGAAAAATATAAAGTTTTAAGTTAGCCTTATACTGTGCTGGATTTAGAGGTGTGGAGGTCTTTGGGAAACCAAGAGGTGGAGTTCCCTTAGACCCAAATCATTTTCCAAATAAAATGATTACTTGATTTTTTCAATAAATAATTCATTGTGAAACCAAGTATAGATTCTTTAAACATATAAATATAATTGGGAATTATCTGAAATTAAATTTGCTGATTGCCTGATTGGAGTGAACAAATATAGATCTAAAGGTAAGATGTCCATAAAAGCTGTAATAAACTGAAGCTTCACTATTTAGGTAGCATTTGAGGAACCACGGTTAGTGTGTAGAGATATAGAAAAACAAGCTTAGCGAACCTTTTTTTCTTAATTTTTCTTTTAAATGTTCTTTGTCTTTTTTAGTGTAAGCAAACAAATTGCATCCCCTACTTGCTTTTTGGCTCCTTTTGCCTGATGAAATTTTATAGCTAGAAAAAATTGTAAATAAATCATAAGTAAAGCAATTGTGTTGGAGTGGTTAGAGTCCTGGCTTAGAACCTAGAGGTCAGAGGCTCAATGTTTGGTTCTATTCATATAAGTAACAATGATAAAGAAGAAGAGGTAAACTTTCTAGTTAAATATTCTTCTGCTATATAATAAGACTGTAAGGACTTCTAGGAGCATCTTAATAACCACAAAAACAAAATAAATTTACCAAGGTTTTGAACATAGAGTTGATTGGGAATATTGTAGTCCCTTTAATGCAGCTTATATTGTAATCTTGTCAACAATCTTCAAATAAAGTTTTTTATAAGTACACATATTTTTTTCTTCTCATTGATGTATATGTTCAACATTTGATAACTGCAGGGACCTGTCAGGAATATTGTAGTCCCTTTTAATGCAGCTTTTCCTATATTGCAATCTTATCAGCATTCTTTGCTCAAGTTTTTTGTAAGCATACATAAATTTGTTAAATTTTTTGCCTGCACTATGCCAAGCTAAAAAATAGCTGAACTGGTTACTGGTGGTGGTTACATTTGTGGCAAGTTTCTTTATTCTACACTGACACGCACATCTCATGTCTAAATATAAATTAACTAAAATTGATATGTTAAAGACCAGGTTATTACTATTAAGGGGTAAACAGATTCTATCTGTTGACCAGCCTCGCACCCCTTCTCCATCTATTAGGCTGGCGTAGATGTGTTTTTAATACATTTTTTCCAGTTTAGGATGTTCAATGCTGGATCTTCTTTACTCAATGCATGGGTTTTGCTTGTGTCTCTTTTTTTATGGCTAGGCAACTCATTCTATTATCTCCTAATGAGGGTACAGCTTTTAAACTCAGTTTTATGGTTCTGGGGGCAGCTGGTAGTCATGTTTCCTGAACTCTGTGGTAGCTCTCAGAGAGGCATCAACAACTGTAAAACATCATCATATAAGTACTAACAGTGCCATGCTGCGCATGGATAATGTCCCTGTTTGTACTTATGGTGTGCATTGTTAAGGCCACATTTGAAGCCCTTTGTTATAGCTTAGGGTTTATTAATAGTAATGAGACAATTACTTAGATTATTAAGTAGTGTACTGAGTACTATCTGTGCTTTGATTCAAGTATTTTTAAAAATTTTAAAATGACACCAAGCTCTCTAAATCTATTATTTACTAATATCCGTTGTTTTCAAAGTAACTTTTCTTCTATTGAGTCTTATCTCTTGCAAAGTTCACCAGACCTATTTGCTATTTGTGAGACTAATTTGAGTTTAGCTGTCTCATCTTGTGATCTTAGTGTTGATAGTTATCTTCTATTAATTCATAAAAACTCAAATAATCTTGTGATTGGTCTGGGCATCTGCATTTTGTAAGAACTCATCCATTTGTTTGGAAACTAGGTTTGAATCCACAGGCTATTCTTATATGTGCTTTCATTTAACACCACTTCACTTTAGAAACTTTCTCTTTGTTCTATATCGCTTTCCTTCATCTCAAGACTGCACTCTTTTTAATGTTATTTCTGATTAGTTTGATCAAGGCCTGTTTTTTCTGATCAAATTGACCAAGGTGACTTATCCTTCAGCCAATATCTTTGTTGGTGCTCATCACATTGAATCACTTGGCTCTAGTGTCAGTGACTCTGCAGGTGTTAAGGCCCACAACTTTTCCTATTCTCAATCTCTAACACTAGTAGTCAACTTTTCAACTCACTTTCCTGACAATTCAAATCATTTACCTTCTCTACTCAATTTATGTCTTGTTTCTGGTCCTAGTCAGTGCTCAGTTTCTCCACATTCACCTCTAGGTGCTTCTGATCACGGTTTGATCTCTCTAAAACTATGATCTCATTCTTCTCCATCCTCAGAATCCCCCTATCATTGTACCTCTTACAACTACCTTAAAGCTGACTGGGACTCTTTCCTTGATTTTCTTTGTGATGACCCTTGAGTAGAAATCTTTCGTCTTCCTATTGACAAATGTGCTTCTTATGTAACATCTTGGATTCAGGCTAGTATGGAATCCTTTTTTCCCTCTCGACAAATTCAAATCAAGCCTCATTCTTCTCTATGGTTTTCCTATCATGCTGCAACTTCCAATCATAACAATTACCTTCACATCTATCAGCAGAACAATTCTCCAGAAAACAAACGTGTGTTTATTATTGCTAGAAACCATTGTAAAAAAAGTTTTATCTAATGCCAAAGCCTGCTATTCTCAGGTCACAAAATCTTGCATTTCATAACCTGAGTAATTAGTGACTTCTGGAGAATCTTTAACAGAATCTATAAAAATTGCAAATCTGTTCTTCCACCTCTCTTATATGATTCAGATTTTTTCACCTCACCTAAAGACAAAGCTGAACTGTTTGCTCAGAACTTCTCATCATTTTTATCTCTTGATTCCACTAGTAGTTATACCTTAGCCGACAAACAGATAGATCTATTGCTTGATGCTTGTATCACTCCAGCTTCTGTATCTAAAGTGATTTCCTGTTTAGACTCTTCTACAGCTTGTGATCCGGACAACATACTGAAGAGCGATCCGACTCCTCAAACTACTGTCCCATTAGTCTTCTTACTATCATAAGCAAGGTTTTTGAGTCTTTAATTAATAAATATTTAATCTCTCATCTTGAATCTAATAACTTACTTTCTGATGATCAATATGGATTTTTGTCTTTTCCTTCTACTGTTAATTTATTAACGGTAATAACAGGTTTCATCATGCATGAAAAAGATGTGGAGATGTTAAAGTTATCACTCTCAACATTTCTAAAGTCTTTAATAAAGTTTGGCATGCTGGTCATCTCTTTAGGCTTTCTTTATACAGTGTGTCTGGTAACATCTTTAAGATTATTGAATCCTTCCTTACCAATTTTAGTATAAAAGTTGTCCTCTATGGACAGCACTCTTCTTTTTAGCCCGTAACTTCAGAAGGTTCTATCCTTGGCTCTATACTCTTTTTAATTTACATTAACAAACTCCCAGAAGTTCTCACATCTAAGGTGGCATTGTTTGCTGATGATACTACCATTTATTCTTTTTAACACTCTCTGAAAGCTTGGAGGGGGTATCTTCCTATATTTATGAACGGTAATGTACTTGATGAGTCATCTTCTAGGATTAACTCTTACTTCTCTCTTTCTTGGAAACCATATATTAAATCCGTTGCAAAATTAGCATCTGCTAAAGTTGCATCTCTTTATTGAGCTCGACACTTTTTTACTCTGGATTCTATTCTCCATCTCTATAAATCTCAAATCCGACCTTGTATGGAATACTGTTGCCATATCTGGGGCAGATCTTCTAATGATACCCTTTCTCTTTTAGACAAGGTGCAAAAACGCATTGTAAACATAGTTGGACTATGTTTACAATGCTGCTTTCATAGCCAACCTTCAACTATTATCACATCATCGTAATGTTGCTTCTCTTTCTTTTTCCTACAAATACTATAATGGGCACTGCTCTAAAGAGCTAGTGTCTCTTGTGCCATCTACTAAAATTCACTCTTGTGTTACTCGTCATTCAATTAAGTCTCATCCTTTTTATGTTACTGTTTCTAAGTGCTCCAAAAACTCTTAATTGTCTAGTTTTTTTCCTCGAACATCAGTTCTTTGGAATTCGCTTCCTTCATCTTGCTTTCCTGATTCATATAATTTACAATCTTTTAAGTTGTCTGTCAATCATTATCTTGCTCTACAATCTTCATCTTTTCTCTTCCAGTAACTTCCAACACTAATTAGTGGTTGCTTGCAGCCTTGTTGGAAGCAATGTTTAAAAAAAATAAAAAATCTGAGCTTAAAAGGATCTCAATTCTGCTACAGCATGGGGCTCACAGTGGCTGGTGAACTTTAATTCAGATAAAACCCAATTTTTTTCAGTCAATTGTTATTGCAATAATCTAGATCTTACTATATTTATGAATGGTAGTGTACTCAATAAGTCATATACCCTTAGTCTAGGAAAATAATTAGTGTTGTAAGCAAAACCAACCTCCAACCATTATCACATTGTCATAATGTTGCTTCTCTTTCTCTTTTCTATAAAATACTGCAATGGGTACTGCTCTAAAAATCTAGCGTCTATTATGCAGTGTCAGGAGAAAATGGTAGTGGTAGAAGTAAGAAATCTTGAAGAGAGTGCCTTACATATAGTATGAATAAACTTTAGTTTAGAAAAGAAAATACTCTAGATTGTTTATATTAGAGAAACAACATAAAAAAGGATGGCTAAAGCCTAATCATGATGATGATGGTGGTAATGATGATGATGATAATGTTGATCATAATGATGTTTATGTATGCATATATATGCAAAATATAACATGAATTTTAAATAAAAAAATATATACTTTAGGATGTATGAATATTTATGCAGCCCTGGTCACAAACCTGGCCTTAACCCTGGCCCCGGTAAATTAACAATCTTGGTCGCTTACTACCAGTGCATTAAGTAATAGGAGATGAAATATTTTTTCTACTAGCTTAATTTTTTTTTTTTTTTTTTTTCACAGTAAAAATGATTTTTTATTTGAGAAACTTTGAGTAATGTTTATTTTTATCATTATATTCACTCTAGGAAAATATTGAAGTAGATATTCAAGAAGCATTTTTACGGTTTCATGCCCAAATTCTTCAGGGTTATGAGTATGTTTGTTATATTAAAATTAAGCATTAAATTTTTTTTTAACTGTTTTTAATTTTATTTTTTAACTTTGTAATTTTATTATTTTAGTCAGTATCTGCTTCCAATTACATCACGCCCTAATATTGGATCAAGAGATTTAACTACTCTATTTGATCTAGCTGGTATTATAACAGCTTAATAATATAGTTAACTACTCTGTTTGATCATTGGTGTTGAAAAAATATTATTAAAAATACATTTTTTATATATTTATAATTTAGTGTTTGGTTCAAATAATATTGAATTAGTTGAAATTTCAAATTGCTAATCAGATTTTATTTTATTGAGCACGAATTAATTGTATTACCATTAAATGTATATGTGCTACCACAAAGCACTATGGTAGTTTGATCGATAAAGTTTTTATTTTTACCAAGGTTTTATGAAGAGTCGTCCTCGTGGTACTGAGAAATTTTTTCAGCTACTTACTAGAACTCAGTTGTTTAATCACTTTGTTGAAATTCGTTCATTATCATCTTCAAATGATGCAGTTCTTATGTTTTTTGATGAATGTATTGATAAGGTATTGGTATTTAGTATTGATTGTAATATTATTAATTATAATTATTAATATTATAATATTTTTATAATAGTGTAATATTTATATAAATTATATTATGTTACCTAAAATAATAGTTTTTTAATAAGATAATGTCAATTAAATGATAATTATGTAATTATGTATTTCTTTAGCTATAATTAGTTATATAATGTAGTAATAATTTTTCACTGAGCCAAAATAGTGGTATTAAAAGGCATCATTCTAAGGTGCAATTTATTATCTACAGCTACATAAATTATGTTTATACAAAAGCACTATTGTTTTTTTTAAATTTTAGTTCTAAAACATTTTTTTAGTTATAACCTAATAAAAACTAATGATGATTTTTTAATCTATTAACAAGAAGCAATCTTTTAGCAGTGAGGAGTTAAGGGGAGGGGGGGGAATAAAGTAGATCTAATAAATGTCTTTGTATAATATTTTGTAAAATTTAAAATTGATTTCCTTTTTTTTTCAAGTCAAGTCAATTGAAATAATTTTATAGTTCAAAATGTAAATATAATATCCCTTAAAGAGTCATGGCTATCACTTAAGAGTCACAAAAAGTTTTCTAAATTGTTTTTAGGCAGTTTAAAATTTTAAATTAAAAAAAAAAAGATGGCAAAGGGAATATTTTTTTTACCTTTTATTTATCAATTTTTTAAAAGTATAAACAAGGAATGGAAACAATATTCTATTAAAGAGAATCTCAAAAGTATCAAAGATAAATAATAATTAGAACATCTGGTGTAGAATATGAAGTATTAAATTAGTTAGATGTCACTTCATTTAATGATGTAAATTATAACTCCATACCTGGAACACTGGTAATAAGCCAATAATACCAAGCTTTGTATCAGTATCAGTGTTTGTATCAGTGTTTGTAGTATATATGACTTGACAAAAATTTTATTTATATTGTTTTACAATTAAAGTTATTAAGTAAAATTAAAAAATAAAGTTCTCAAAAATGATATTATAATAAGGAATATAAAATGATAAAAATTATCAAAAATTTGATTTTTAAAATATTTATTGATTTTATATCTATTATACACCATTAGCCATAAATTAAAGCTCATTATATATATATATATATATATATATATATATATATATATATATATATATATATATGTATATATATATATATATATATATATATATATATATATATATATACATATATATATATATATATATATATATATATATATATATATATATATATATATATATATATATATATATATATATGTATAATATATAAAAATATATTATAATAAGGAATATAAAATGATAAAAATTATCAAAAATTTGATTTTTAAAATATTTATTGATTTTATATCTATTATACACCATTAGCCATAAATTAAAGCTCATTATATATATATATATATATATATATATATATATATATATATATATATATATATATATACATATATATATATATATATATATATGTTCCAACATGTAACTGCCGGCAACCTTCTCAATGTCCTTTGCAAGGTATGTGTCTCAGTAAAAATATAATTTACGTCTGCAATGTAAAAACATCACCGCAGGATAGTGGTCTTAATTATATTGGTCTAACGGAACACACCTTTAAAGATCGCTGGTACAAACATAAAAGTTCCTTTCAATATGAAAGTAAAGCTAACACCACAGAACTTTCGAAATATATCTGGGAAATGAAAAAAAAGGGATTTTCAAATCCTATTCTTACGTGGAAAGTTATTGATAGGGCGGAACCATTTAAACCTGGAGGAAAGTTATGTAACCTTTGCTTAACCGAAAAATACCATATCATCACGTCATCTTTGAAACTACTGAATAAACGAAATGAACTAATATCAAAATGTCGCCACGAAAACAAATTTGTTATTTGCAACTTTAACGTCATCTAAGCTAGCACTGTATTGTATTTTTGTATATAATTTTTGCTGTTGTTACGGTTGTTTGTAACGTCTGATGATCGCATAAAGCGTGAAACTCCGAGTTATGTTTCAAATCTAATTGTATTTATTTTATTATTAATTTAATACTTAATATATATATATATATATATATATATATATATATATATATATATATATATATATATATATATATATATATATATATATATGTATATATATATATATATATATATATATATATATATATATATATATATATATATATATATATATATATATAAATTATTAATTCACAATAAACTAAATTGGAAACTAAAATGTACTTTTTTCTTTTTTTTATATTATAAGTAAAATATATATAAATATGTAGCTTTAATAAATAAATCTAAACCTTGGCGATACTTATTACAGGCCTTCCCATCGCAAATCCGTATTTTTGACTGGGGGCGGACAAATTTACGAAAAATATAAAAAAAGGCTAGAAAAGTTTGCAAACTAATCCATTATTTTTAGTTAGTTTACTAAATTTTAAAAGTACTGTATTAATGCAAAAAATGTCTATTGCAGTGTTTATTAAGAATCATCAAATTTTAAAAAAACATTTTGAAAAAAAGCATATAATACAATATTTTTCAGAACAATGAGTTGTAATTATTTAAAATCTAAATCACAAAAAAATGAACAAACTTTAAAATAATGCAAAAAAAAAAAAAAAAAAAAAAAAAAAAAAAAAAAAAACATAATATACATCAAGTAAAAAGAAAAAAATATCAAAATATACATCAATTATGCTATAAAAAAATGTACATAATAATTTTTTAATGTTATACAGATAACTTTAAAACCTTCAATGCAGGTTCTTTATTGGACTTGGATGAAAAAAGCAAACAATAATTTTTAAGAAATATGTTTGATAATATTGTACCATGTTTCTTTAACATATTAAAGTTATAAATATCAGATATCATAAAAGTATTATACAATGACTTTCTGCACATTTTGTTTTTCTCAATTTCAAAAATAATGAAACAAAAAAATACCCACTGCACGCAGCAATCGAGAGGCATATTCAATTCACCGCGGTCTAAACAATTCACCACGGTCTCTGAACCTAAACTTACTGAATGCTTTTTCAATGTAATCTGTTGAAAACTCTTCTAACATAACCAAAATTGTTTTTTAGCAAATATTTACACATCTCGACGACTCCATAACATGTATGCTAAATTGAAGTACCTGTATCTTTAGTTAAAGATTTCATTCTATGACCTTGTTCACCACTCATTTTAAATGCCATATCTCCACAATCAAGTAAGTACTGCAAATTTATGTCTAATTCTTCAGAAATAACTCTCTTACGAGAATCTGAAAATTTTATATCACCATAAATTTCTTTTACACTTACAATTTTCCAAAATTTAGTAACTTTTCTAAAAACCAAATGGTTTCATTCATATTGCAAGGGTGGATAACTTTTGAATAAGTTTTAAGAGCAGCTATAGTTTCATCACAAAATACTCTTAAACAATACTTTTTGTCTTTCAATGGGTTTTGGATAGCTACAAAATTTAGTCTTGATAACTTAATTAGCTGATCTTTCTCAAAATCTAAGATACATTTAAGGTCACTCCACTTGGCAGTCAAATTTTGGTCTTTTTCAAATTGTAATTCCTGCATTTTTTCTGTAATCTAGTTATTCCTAATATTTTTTAGTAGATGAACATAATCAAAAAGGAGAAAAATTCCACATTTTGTTAACCATGGTTTTCCTTCAACTCTCTCAAATAATTTAAAAAAAGCTTGATTTGTTTGATTGCCATCACAAATAACTGAAATTACTTTTCCATTGCTAGACTTAATTAAATTAATGACATAGCATACTTCCTCAAACAAAAAAGAAGCATCCAAATGACAGACAGGTATCATTTTGCATATAAAAGATGGTCCTTTTAAACATTTAACCATAATACCCAAAACACTATTTGCTAATAACTCTGGATTATTCTGCTTTTCCAAAAAGATAACCACCATGATAAAGAAGAAGAGACTTTACATAAACTTCATCCACCAAAAGTATACAATTTCTATGATTTTCCTCTAAATTTGAAAAAATGGTACTAATAAAGTCAATATATAAAACTTTTTTTGTCATAGATGTAATTTTTGTTAAAGTTTTTACACTTGGCAATTGAAAATCTTTTCGTACCTGATTGTATAAGCATTGAAATGTTGAAAAATAACAATAGGATCTGATCATAGTTTCTACATTATAATTTTTTTTTACCTACTTCTGATGCATTCAGAGATATAATAAGATCTTGTACTACTTTTGATGATCAATTTCAATGTTGTTCAAAAAGCGAATTGTTTCTTCAACTCTTGACCAGCAATCAAGATATGCTATTCGATTTTTTGATAGTGAAGAAATAAAACAACTAACACCAGCATGAAAACTTTCAAATTTAAAATTGCTTGAGATATGAACAGCAAACATAAGTATACAGTTAACATAAAAGGAATTTGATTGGATGTGCAAAACATTATTTGTAACAAAAGTTGTTACAGGACAAATAAATTTAGGATTTTTAATATCTTCACATAAAAAAATGAATGTAAACTAATCGTTTTTTAAATATTGCAACAACTCATCACACTTTTCAGTTCTGATAGAAGACAACACTTTAGTAGTGGACCTTGGTTTTAAAGGTTGAGTTGGTACAACACTATCTGGAATGTTTGGGAAAATTGAAGGAGGTTCAATTGGTCTAACTTTCCCATTGACAATAGTTGTTAAAAAATTTTCAGGAAATTGTCTTTCACAGACAACAGTATCTGGTTTATTTGGAAAATTACTTCTTGGAATTGAATTTATCCAACAATTTCTTTATTCTTCATTGGAGGGAAGCCTAAAAACTCCTACTTTATTTTTAGCGTCATAGTTTCCTATACATTCAGGAACACAGCACTTTTTAACCATTTATTGTAACAATCAATTACTCACAAATCGAACTTTAAAAAAACTAAAATATATCTTTCTGTAAGATTGTCCGCCCCCAGTCAAAAATACGGATTCGCAACGGGAAGGCCTGTAATATGTATCGCCATGATCTAAACGCAATAGTTTTAATACTTGCAACAATCAAATATGCAATATTTAATGTATTGGCTATTTAATGATTTGATATTCCTTGATTTTGAAGAAAAATAGATTCATAACCTGTTTTTTAAGATATTCTCAAATATGATTTTGGAGTTTCATTATGTATTTCTTTGCTCAATTTGTTATTCTGTTTATTTTTATTTTTACTATTATAAAAAATTATTTAGGATTAATAAATGCAGTTGAAAACAAAATCAAAATTATTAAAGGAAATCATCAATATATTTTAT